TGATTTCCATCAGCAACAGGTCTAGCTTGCAGTGTTTTGTCTTGAGTGCGAAAATTGTTAAAATACAGTGTCTGTGCTGTGAAGAGTTGTGGTGGTTGCTGGTGTGTGTAAGTAACGCTGACAGGCTGTATGACTCTAACAGGAGGGAGCCATGGCCACACATTAGATCTGTTGATAAGCTAGAGGGCTTGTGCTGAGTGTTTGGTGGGTTTTTTTGGGTTTTTTTAAAGCACAAATATACTTAGTCCTAGCTTTAGGATCTGGCTACATGTAAATAAAAAAGTCAGTCATACAGAGAGACAGTGAGAAGAATGAACCATTACTTTAAAAAATGTAGCTAGAGATGTAAGCTGTGGCTGGATGTGTAAGTGATACAGAATTATTTCATCATGTTCATGCTTTTATAAGAACTGAAAAAAGCCCTATTTAACTCAAGAGAGTTTCTACTCTGTTGCTAACAGCATGAGGGAAAAAAAAGAGAACACAAACATACCACACATTTTCTCCATTACTACAGGTATGTTTTATCCTTTTGTTATAACTGAATGAAAAGCTAAAGCAGGTACAAGAACTAAAGAGATCTGGTTCTCATTAAAGCTGGTCTTGAACTCAGTAGTCTGAGCATAGGTGTAGTACTGCTAGTTAGTAGCCACATGTTCAAAGTTGAGTCCGCCTTAAGCCTGTCTGAGGTAGCTCAGTTTCATGCAGTTGGTTGTATAGGTCATTCATAGGGGAATCTAGTCCTGTCAGAAGAAAACAATTACTAAAATTCATGACCTACATATAGACTTCTGATCTTGGGACATTGGCAATGCATTACTTCTGGAAACAACTGAAAAAAATTAAATACGGCTATATATATAAGTCTTCCACAATATATCTATGAATTGGAGTTTATATAATTTGCTTAGTTAAACAAATACAAAACTTGACCACTAAGGTAACCATGAGTTGTGCTGTTAATCTCAGCCAAAAGTCATTAGAAGACATTTGTCATTAGAAGATGTTTGTCATTGAAGACAAATGAAACCAAGCCTCTCTGTCAGTGTAAACTGTCCAGAATGAAAGGCAGTAAAGAACAGGTGCTGCTGTATTACTTGGGCATCACTAGCAACATGCTTCTCACTTGTCAGGAATAAAATGTAAAAACATTTTTTTTTTAATGAAATAAAGTTAAATAGACATTTTTTTGATTCCTAAAACCTATTAAGGGAAGCATGTTCTAATTCTGGAGGCCTTTGTGAGTAAGAGAGGCTACTTTTTCTTTCACACTTGATGAGCCACTATATAGAATGTGCCTATTGTAAATGGGCTTCGAAAGATGGGAAGCCTGCACGAGGCTTAAAAAATCATGATCAGTGCAGTCTTGGTTTGCAAACAGAGTCCCAGTGCAGACAGATGGTATCTCACCATTTCATTCAGTGGTGTTAACAAACTGAATTTAACTGCATCAGGGATTAATGAGCAGCATCAGGATATTCTGCCACAGAGAAGGGAGCAGTCGGGCTAGAAAGCTGTGTGAATATCTCTGGAAAGGTGGTCACCTTGGCCCACTGCTGCTTAAGGAATGAGAGGGTCTGTGGCAGTGGCACAGAACTCAGTCGCTCTTGCTGAAGACAGTGGCAGCAGCAATAAAGTTGGCTTTTCATGACTTAGAAAAAAGTGAGGCCATCTCTGGCAGTTGCTGCCTCTGTCACCTGCCTGCTTTGCTAATACCTAGGGCCAAACCTAGTGGAGACTTTGATGCTCAGAAGAGCTTTCCTCACTCAGCCAGTGAATGGCTGGGCAGTGCTCTTGGGTAGCTCTAGACAGAGTGTGTTTGGACAATATCTAATGCAGGAAGAGTACTGTTGCACAGTATGAATGTCAGTTATATTCCCTTTTCAATAGGCAAGCTCTTCTGTGTTAAATTCCTTACTCAAACACCTTCTAGGCAATACAGAGTAAAGAGTGTGATGAGTGTGAGCATGGGGGAAATGAAAAGAACAGACTGGATACAAAAACAAACAAAACAAGAGAAGAACATGCAAAACAATGATAAGTAGATGTCTGCCATTGCTCTCATTCACTGGGACAGTTTATTCCAGTGCTTTCTTTGATATAGAAAATGTCAAGAGAAGTGCAGGGTTCAGTGATGAGGCTTCTTCTGGATTAAATTTATTTACATGCCAGTAACAAGTAATTTGACTACCAGGAGCAGATGTGACAAAACCTTTCCTGCTTACTTTATTTGTACTACTACAGCATTATTGAAGGTCAGTGTCACTATTATCAGTCCTTATTTCCAAAGGTGTCTAAGCAGTGATTCTCAGCTGAAGTCTTCTGGGATAATATTCAAAGACTGAGGGTGAGGCTTTCAACTTCTGGCAGTGCAAGTCAGGGCACTGAAATTAACCTGTAGGTGTAAGGGTTAAAGTACCATTTCTATCTTTGTACTTTAAAGAGAGAAGAGAGCAAGTGAGTTTTTTCAGACTACTGTAGCTTCATTAATGCCAAGGCTGTGGGTTCAGC